GGTGAGGATGGAGACGCTGCTCCCGGCCGCAGAGCCAGGAGCCTCTCCGGCCCGGGGTTGTCTCTTCCAACGCGTGAACGATGACTTGGAAACGGCTGAGGTGTTCCGAGGTGTTCTGAGAGGCAGAAGCGAGGTTCCCCTTGAGTTGGCAACGTCAGGGTTAACTAGGAGTGAACTGGGGCGGGTTGCTATCAGGACAGGACCCCTCCACCGCCCTTAGGCTCTGCTCCCTGCCGTCCATCTACTGGAGCCCCAAGAGTCCCCGTTGGCCTAGGGATGGGAGGAGACCGACAGGGGGTCCTGAACCCCAAACCCTGAATTAACTCTCCCTGGCCAGAGCTGCATGACCTTGCCAGGGCTCCCTTGACCACAGACACGGAGGTAAGCCCAGGGAAGAGCCCCCGCCGGGAGAGGAGAGGTTAGGAAAAGGCTGGAAGCAGGGGTGAAGTTGACACTAAGGCGCGGGGCAATGTTAGAGAAAGACCTGCTGCTGCCTCCTGCAGGGCAGAGCCCCCAGCAGAGACCCTCTCCCCAGGCAGAGAGAGTCTGCCTGTGAACGTGCGGTAACTGGGCCAGACAGGTGCCTAGCACAGGGGACTGCCTGTCCGCCAGTTGCCATCCCACACTTGGCTGAGCCCTTCCGCCCCCTCCCCTTCCTCTTCCCACGACCCACCCACTCACTCCCTTTTCGCCCCTCTCCCTCTCAGAAACAGAAGCTCTTTTCCATTAGTGATGGCGACGAATGCTCTCATCTCCATAAAGCAGCTCACCACATCAGCCCCAGGATCCAACCTGTGACCACCTCACCCAGCAATAACTGCTTCTCATAAACACACAGAAGGAAAGTAACTCCAATCTAATTAGGTGAGTTTGCTACAGACACCAATTTTCATCTCAGTTTCAGGAAGTGTGATCATTTCAACTATTTTTGTTTCTTACCACCTTCCCCCATCCCTACTCTACTAACAAGTCAAGATCCTGCCAAGATTTCCTTGTAAATAAAACTGTCTGCATGGGGTGTGATTTTGAAAACAGCCTTCAGGGAACAGAACAGAGGCTGACTTCTTTGTGGAAAGAAGCCCAGAAGGGTGAGCGGCTGCTGGGGGCCCTGGAGTGGAGTCCACCGCCATCCCTGCTGTCACCTGCATGATCTGCATGGGTGCTGGCTGTTATACTTACATCTCCAGGGCTGGAGAAGGGGGCCAGGAAGCCTGGTTCCAGGGGATCTGGAAGGAGAGCAAGAGAGGGGTAGCCTCTGCAGAGATGCCCAGCAGCGCCGGGCAGTGTTCTGACCCCAGCTGCCCTTTGGGTTCTGCCTTGTCTTCAACCCAGGGACAACGCTATCAACATGCTCAACTCTGTCATCCCCTCGGGTAGATGGACCTTACCAGGCTCAGGTCAGTACCCCTGTATTTACTGAGCTCCTACTAAGTGCCAGTGACAGAGCTTTGTAAGATAGATAGGATTGGGGCCGGCAGGAGGCATGGTGGTTAACAGCACTGGACTCCCACATGGCCGACTATGGTTCCAGTCCCAGACCTGGTGGTTTGCTCTCTCACTTTCCCTCTCTCTCTCTCTTTCTCACTCTCTCATTCCTATCTGGTAAAATTTAAATAAATAAATAAAGCTAAATAAAATAATTCTTTTTTAAAAAAAATTCTTAAAAAAAAAACCCCAAACGATAGATAGGATCCAGACCCTGCCCTCTCAAAATGTGCAATTGGGGTGACAGAGTAAGTCCTGGATTCAAAGGAAGCCCAAAGGAGGGTCCAGGGAAGCTTCCCAAAAGATACGCCCCCGGGACCAAGCCAAGAGGGAACGGTGAAGGGGAGGCATTCCAGGCAGAGGGAACAGCATGGGCAAAAGCTGGGCATGTGAAGCCACAGGACTTGGGAGGAGAACTCCAAGCAATTGGGCACAGCTGGAAATCCAAGCAAGGTGTTCAGTGTAAAGAGCCCGATCAGTAGGGGAGGGTTGTGAAGAGCTGTGAATTCATGAGAAAAGAGCTTGTAATTTACCCCACTGGTAATGGGGAGCCACTGAAGGATTATGAGCAGGAAAGCAACATTTACAAAGATCCCTCAGTTGTAATGAGGAGGTTACAAGAGAGAGAGGGACCACGGGAGGTGCCCTCCAAAGAAGAGGTCATCTGAGCAGTGAAAGTTAGGCTAACGGGGAGAGGGAGTCTCAGAAGCATCTAGAAGGGTATCTTGTTTCCCCTTCTGTCCTTAGTACATTTAGTTCCACCTTGGCAGTGTTCCCAAAGGTCTCCTAGGAAAGCATTCTGGACCTTTCTGCAGAACGCTCCCTTCAGGAGACTGCTTCCCTCTCCCAGGGCCTGCTAGGACAGCCATCTGGACTCAGAAACCATTAGCACAAGTTGTGTCATCCAACATCCTCCATGAACTTGAGGCCACCGTCTCACCTGCTGGCCTCAGTGTTACCTCGGCCTCACCAGCCACCTCGTTGCATCCCCCCATCTCCAGGTGAATCTGCAAGGAGGTACACACACTCCTCCACAGGCAGAGGGACATGGCATGGGGGCCCAGGAGTGGGATACTATCTGATTGCCTTTGTCATGCTCCAACCTAAGACAGCCTGGGGACAGAACGGGGAATGGCCACTCTTACTGAACGGTCATCACAGGCCAGGTACGCATGGCTGGGGTGCTGCACGCAGGCCCTGCCTACAGAGAACCCGAGTCTAGTGAGAGACGACAGTCAACAGGGCAGATGGGGATTTATACCCTGCGCTTCATTTGTAAGTGCCACACCTGTGACCTGTTTTCGAGTTCCTAATAAGACACTCTTAAGTCCACGCAGGACAGGGTCAGGGCCTGGGGATGAGCCGCCCAAACCCCAAAGGGTCAAACTCAGTTCATGCTGTGAAAGGCGAGGCATCTGGGGTGCTGGCAACTGCTTGATCAAAGGCACTGAGATAGGAGCTCAAAGGAAGGGTGGCGAGGTGGGTGAGGAGGGCTGTGTCACAAAGTCCTCAGGTGCCAGTCTGAGGAGGTGGGACTCACACACCGTGACGGTGACGACGCCCACCTGGAGCAGCCCTTCAGGAAGACTGAGGTGGTAGCTGCTCAGCACCGCCATTCAACTCGCCGGTTGTCACGGTCCATTTTCTGCTAGACCCTGGCTGAGGTGCTGAGAACAGAGAAGGGAGTAAGACCCAGCCCTGGCTCCTGGGCAAACACTAGATAAGCCTCTAATCACAGCCCAGTGGGAAAATGGGAAGGCGAGAGAAACGAGCTGTTTGGGGGCTGGTCTCAGAAGGCACCCTCCAATGAAGAGTTTTTTGTTTTGTTTGGTTTTGGTTTTGTTTTGAGAGGTTTTAGCTATAGGGCTTGTGCGCTTGCTTGCCAGAAAGACAGAGATAGATGGCCACACCACAGTGTGTGAGTTTAACCACTGGGTCTAGGACTCCAACTGTGGTCGACTACAAGGGAGTCCAGAGACATAGCCATTACTCCAACTGCTGGTCCCAAAAGAGTTGTTAAAGGACTTGATGTTCTGACCCTGGAAGCTTGAACAATGGGCCACCATTGCAAACCCAGGAGGAGCTGCAGGGAGAGGGAGAGAAGGAGGGGGTGAGGAGAGTCGAGCAGTTTGTTTGTGGACACCCTGAGCTAATGAGAAGCCAGGGAAGAACCATTTAGGGCTGTAATTACCTGCAAAGTAAATGGCAATGCCCAGAAGGGGAATAGGCAGGGGTGACTTTTTTCTCCAGAACCCTTTGCTCTTGGACCTTTTCATCAATACCAATTTCCCATTCCAAAGTCTCCCCAGCTAGGCCCACACTCCCAGGAAGCTCTTTTTCTCTCTCTACAGCCAACCTAAAGTGACCCCGGCAGTCCTCTGTCCCCACCTGTAGCTCCAGTCTTGAGACACTGGCAAAGCAGCCCCGAGCTGCTGCTGTTTGGCTGCTAGAGATGAAGACATGAGT